CTGCTCTGCTCCTTGGTTCACACTGCGTATTCTTCCGCTGTGTGCAGCTTTTCTGCAAACCCCCACTGCCCCGAGCTTCGAGCTAGGTGATGTGTTGTCCTTCCGAAGTACCCTGAGGTGGTCCTTAAGCGGAGGAAATGCTGGCTCTCACCATTTAGTGGTTACTGCTTACCGTGTAGTAGTATTCGTTTTTCTTGTATACCTCTCTCTCAACTGGTTCATGTCTTTAAATGTAATGGCTGGAGGGTTTCTCAGTTTGGAGTTTTTTGCTTTAGTGTTTTGGTTTTTTTCTTTAGTAGATAATACATAAAGCCAAATGTCAAATTAGATAAACTGCTTTTTAAGTTACTCCAAGTTAAAATTTTAAAAGACCGGTCTGTACTTACTGTGTTTCTTTGGAAATAGCTGATTTTGTGGTCTCTAACTTTAAATTTGCAACAATGTTTTGGGGAAAATGGTCATAACAGAGGCTTACATGAGGAAACAGCTCAATATTTAGACTTCTGCAATCTGTTCTTGTTACTGTAGTTTTCCTCCAGTTTCTTCTTAGGGATTACTGGTGAGCACTTCGATTGTGAAGTTCAAGGAACCTGCCCTTGCGTTCCCTGAGTTCTGCGCTGACATCCACATGGTGACGCTGATGGCATAATGTACCGGGACAGCGCGAAGCAGCTTCTGCCAAGTCACAGCAGTGGTTACAGTGTACAAGGCAGGGTGGTACAGAGCGGTGCTTATGTGGGGTTTTCTTTAATCTAAATTAGATCATTCAAAAGATGCTTTTGCAGGGCCAAGGCAATAACTCAGTGGTCCAGGTGCCTGCCTGGCGAGCACACAGACCCAGATTCAGTCACTGGAACGACATGCCATGCTGGCCCCACCTGGGTCGTATTGAGCCAGCCACCAAAACTGGGCACGATGGCACACACCTGTAATCCCAGCACTGGGGACGCTGAGACAGGAGGATCGCTAAAAGAGTCCAAGTTGTGTAGTGAGACCCTGTACCAAATAAATAATTTAAAACAAAAAAAGAGAGATGCTTTTGCGCAGAATGCTTTGTTTAGTTGTTCTTTGTGACGTGCATCACAGTTTTGGTGTTTTGTTTTGTACCAGGGATCGAACTCAGGAACTTGTGCATGCCAGGCAGGCATCTATGCCACTGAGCTGTCTCCCAACCCTCATCACAATTTTGTAAGGGCTTGTCACTTTCTTTATGAATGACGAACTTACTTATTCCATGATTGTTCCCATGACTCTTAAAATATTTTAAACCCATTTGAAGTATTTTCATATGTAATTGCATATATAATTTAGAGTTTTCTAATTGAGTGTTTATAAAATAATACTGATATGTCAGAATTTATCTAGAGCGGAGAAATTCTTGTTTTTAGCATCTGTATAGTTAAGCATGTGAGAATTAAATCAATTCTGATTTGCTAATTTTTTTACCCCCAATAAAGAAAGCAGTTGGGTTGTATCATGGCACACAGCGTTCTAGACCATCTTTGTATCGTCATTATAAAAATCACTGTGACATCGGCAAGTACCTGTCGTTCGGTGAGGCTTTACAATGTGCAAGGCATTGACAGGCACGCTGCATCCTTTTGTCATGTAACACCTGACATTGGTGTGCGAGGCTTGTACTTCTGTGTGTGTTTGCAGGAGGAATCCTCCCAAGGTTGGGGACGTTGCTGCCCTGTCCGTGATCACCCCAGGGGTCGTAACTGCTGCCCCGATCCCAGAGCCAAAGCCCACTGGGTGAGGTGTGTGTTTGTGCTGGAGAGGCTGGCTTGGCTCCTTCCTCTCAGCTGACCTCTAGCACAGTACATGAGTAGATAAGTCCACACTGGACCACAGAGTACATTTTTCACACAAAAATCTTGTTACCTGTAGCAGGAAGACACCTGATTGTGAATACTTGGAGTTACGTGGATCTTGTCCACTGCTCTGTGAACAGAACTGCTGCTGAGTGACGTGGCTTTCTGAGTGAATACCTTAACTTGGATAGCTTTCTCGTGGACGCTGGGAGTAACCTCTTGACAGGTGAGGCGGAGGCTGCAGCCTGTGTGGAACGCACCGTTAGGTGACCGTTGCAGTTTTTAAGACCTCAAGATGTAACACCTAGATGTGTGGCGCTGCTCGGGGTGCGGTGGAGAGCCCTGCACGCCCGCCTTCTCTCGCTGCTTTCTCCCCTTCCTGCCGCCTCGTGCAGCTAACTCTGGCACATACTTGGCCTCCTTACTGGAAACGAAGGAAACACAGTCTCTGTCTCTGACCAGTTTCTTCATTTTCACATTAAGAACACAAGGCTTAAAAACTTGATTGACTTTCTGAAGTCCTATAACTGTTTAGGCACATGTTTAATTTGTGACAGGACTAGGTGTGTTTTACAGTGTCTAGTATTTTCCAGATCTGTTGTAAATTTTTTCAAACATTGTTTCAATTGAACAATTAAATATTTGTTTATTTATTCATTTTGTGGTCCTGGGAGTCAAACCCAGGAGCTTACTCATGCAAGGTAAGCACTCTTTCACTAAGTACATCCCAGCCCAAGAATTAAATCCCTGCATAACTGTTTTATTTGTACCTTGTCTTTGAAAGATCAGTCTCCCCTGCTTATTGCCTACATGTGAGCTGTAATTAGGATATCACCTTACAGTTTGACTTTCTAATGTATTTGGTTTTTGGTTTTTGGTGTTTTTTTTTTTTGTGTGTGTGTGTGTGTGTGTGTGTGTGTGTGGAACCGGGGATTGAACTCAGACCCTTGCACTTGCCAGGGAAGCACTTATTCCACTGAGCCATCTCCCCGGCCCCTTGACTTTCTAATGTAATTTGATCCTCACAACCTCTAGGTGTCAGAAGAACAGTATTTTATCATTTATTTCTGCTTCAGGAACATACAAGGTGTGGTCTCCAAATAGAGATTATTTAAGTTTTCAAAAGTGATGCAGTAAAAGGCACATTGTCATTAAAACCCCTCCCAATGGATCGTGCTTCACACACTTGCCTGTCACTTTGGCCACCCTCTGAAGCAGTCCTGGAAGTCCCACGGGTGTCTTCAGCCTGCTGTGGTGGCTGCCTTGGTGTTCTGAAGTGGTCCAGCATGTTTACTTTTCATGGTCACTTTGTCACCCTCTGAAGCAGTTCTGGAAGTCCCACAGTGTCTTCGCCTGCTG